CATCTAGGGGAATCTAGAACGATGGTTATTCCAAAGTTGTCATTGTGCCGAGCCGCTGCCTTTAACTCGCCCATACCGGAGCAGGGTTCTCAATAATCTCTTTGAGGGTGTTGTCCAGAAGTTTGACGCTTTCACGGAAAGCATTTACTCTGGTCTGGATTAACGTATAACAGTCATCACAAGGCAGACATCCAGACTTGATGTCGTAGCGATTCTCAACACACTGATCGCAGCGACGACCTTGGATATGGTCACGGCACAAGCATTGTCCTGCAAATGTTAAAATAAGAAAATTTTATAAGAATGAGTGGAAAACCTTTTTCATACCGGTGTTGACGTCACACTGTCTGCTTTCGCTGCCAATGGCTTCACAGTCGCAAGACTGGCAACCATTTGGCCCAAATCCAAAGTGATACGGAGCACACATATCACATCTAATCAAATAGATTTTTTCAAAAATTACAATAAATTCAGCCCTAAACTTACCGTCGACCCGTCACACCAGGTTTACATTTGCAAACACCAGTGTTCAGATCACAGGTGGAGTCTTCTGATCCGAGCGGATCGCAACCGCATTCTTGTGCACCCACACCGGAGCTGATGTTGAAGTAGCCATGCTAAAAAATAGATTTCTAGAAATACTATAGAATCTGAAGTAGAGTTAAAGCTTGCCTCAGGTTGATCACAATGAAAACCAATGATGTGTGGTAAACAGTCGCATTGGCCATTATCTTGCGAACATTCCAGAGCAGTATAGTCATGGCTTGGACGACGTGTTCCAGGTGCGAAGCAACTAAAAACAACCGTTTGCATATCATTCATCCTGCATAGATCATATTTTATTCACTTGCAAGCTTTACAATCTCCTTTCGGGTCCAGAAGAGCATCTCCCCAGTATCCTGGTTTGCATTTCTCACAGTTAAACCCATAAGTGTTATAAATACATTTCTTGCATTCTCCTGTGATTCTAAAATAGAGCTGGTTATTTTGGCTCACTGCGAAACGAAGTTCTGACAGACTTGTCGCAGTTCCCAATCGAATTCGGATCGATGTTTCCAGAGCATTCACATTCTTTGCATGGAGTACCTTCTTTAGGGTTTCCAAAGTAGCCATCTGAGCATTCGTCACATCT